CTGCACGACCCAGTTCTCGGATGCGACCTGACTGCTCACACTGTACGTCTGGTAGCAACACGTCGGCCCTAAAAATATGCTAAAAATAGCAGTTTTTACACAACACTTCAGACTTTTTTGTCTTGTTCTGCCTGTTGTCCTTCGGGAGTGCTGCAGGAGGACACACAGGGATTTATGGGGATTGGATGAGGAAAACGAAATAAAGAAAGTAAATCTGTGTTTTGTGATCAGTTTGATTTGACATGAACACGACAAACACGCTTTCTTGACGTTTGTGAGTAAAAAAAAACGTGTAGAAATAAAAAACGAACAACGTGTGTTATTAGGGAAATAGCGGGCGAACCGTGTTGATGCAGGATTGCGCATGCGCCGTGAGCGGTTCTGGTACTTTTTGGGTCGCAGCTGCTCGCAGCGCCGCTTCAACAGTGCGATACCCTCACGAGGGACGAGCAAAATATTAAACACGCCAGAAGTCCGTGCGAGCTCACGATTGCTGATCGGTAGCTGGTCACGTGGTGTTAATCGCCTCTTGTAACCCCCTGTACACTACACGACGCTCGGCGCAAAACTCGCCCCGATCTCGTGGATTCTCGCACGAGTGGAAAATCGGCTCAAAAAAAGTGAAAAAGTCGCACTGTGTACACCCGGCTTAAGGGAGAGCCCAGTCACCTTGCGGATAAAACTCGTTTCAGCCGCTTGTATTCGCGATCTTGTTCTTTCGGTCACTACCCAAAGCTCATGAGCATAGTGAGGGTAGGAACGTAGATCAACGGGTAAATCAAGAGCTTTTCCTTCTGGCTCAGCTCTCTCTTCACCACGACAGACCGGTACAACACCCTCATCACTGCAGATGCAGCACCAATCTGGCTATCGATCTCACGCTCCATCTTTCCCTCACCCGTGAACAAGACCAAGAGTTACTTCAACTCCTCCACTTGGGGCAGGACCTCATCCCTGACCTGGAGAAGGCATTCTACCCTTTTCCTAATTCAACTAGACAGAGACAATTTAAAGGCTCAGGAACCCTTTGTATGTGTTTTCTATTTGTAATTACAGTATCGACCTGAATATAAGACGAGGGTTTTTCATTGAAAATAATTTTTAAATGTGGGGTCGTCATATAATTGGGGTCTAACCATTGCACGCCCATAACAGCAGACGGCACCAGGTGTGGTTCGCTGGAGTTTTTGACAATTAAAATTGCGCCCACATTTTCTAAGTTAAACACATCCCTTTTAACAACAGTAGTTTCTGCATCTTGCTTTGGCACTTTATAAATAAACTTGAAAAAAAAAAATATATATATATATATAAAATTATATATATAAAATTATATATATATATATATATATATATATATACATTTTTTTTCAAGGTAGACAGATAATATTGGACATCCCTAGTAAATTCTACCAAAAAACATGTTTTTGTCGACAAAGATTAAAGGATGTTGCAATCACATCCAATGGATAACTGAAAGTCGGATTGTTGAGCTGAACTCACCATTGCTAAATTCGATTTTAAGCATAGGAGTTTCTATGTGTTTATCGGTCATCAGGCCTCAGCTCCTACATCCCTATCATGTGGTGTCCCTCAGGGTTCAAACCTTGGCCCTCTTTTGTTTGATCTTTACATGCTTCCGCTCAGCCAAATCATAAAGAACCACTCCATTGTTATCATAGTTACGCAGACGACACACAGCTATATCTCCCTGTCTTCCAATAACGTTGCTCCCCTTGAATCCCTTTATCATTGCCTCAATGAAGTTCAAGATTGGATGTCAAAAAATCTCCTTAAACTTAATACAGACAAAACTGAAGTAATTATTTTTGGGAGGAAGGGCCAGAGACTAAAGACCGCCACACTGTTGAGACTGAAAAGCTTTGAAGTAGCAGAAATCGTAAAGAACCTTGGGGTAATTGTTGATATCAACTTAAGCTTCACCAGCCACATGAAGGAAGTAACAAAGTCAGCTTTTTATCATTTAAAAAACATTGCAAAAGTTAAAAACTTCATATCACCTGTAGACCTAGAAAAGCTTGTTCATGCTTTCATCACAAGCAGGGTGGATTACTGCAACGGTCTTTTCACTGGTCTCCCTAAAAAAACAATAAAACCTCTTCAAATGATCCAAAATGCAGCAGCAAGGCTATTGACCAGAACTAAAAGAAATTATCACATCACACCAATCCTAAAATCTTTACATTGACTACCAGTAACTTACAGGACTTACAGGAGTCCTTTTACTTGCTTTTAAATCATTAAATGGCCAAGGACCACTGTACATAGAAGATGTTTGAAAAGTATTGCCCTTCAAAATCACTTAGGTCAGCAGAAAAATACCAATTGGTACAACCCAGAGCCCGCACCAAGCATGGAGAGTCTGCCTTTAGCTGCTATGTGGTACGTCTCTGGAACTGTCTTCCAATAGACATTACGACCTCTCCCACCATTTCCATTTTAAAATCCAGATTAAAAACCAAACTTTTTTATAATGCCTTCCATTAACCTATCTGTGGTCTACTAGGTTTGTATCTCTGTTGTTAAATTTATTCTATATGTGTTTGGTATGTATGCCTAGTCTGTGCTGCTTTATTGTTGTTTTATAATTTTTAGTAAAATTTTAACTGAATATAATTTTATTTTTGTGTACTATGTTCCGTATCAATACTCCTTGACTTTATTATACATAGCATGATGTGGCATTTAAATCCGTGATTGTTTTAACTATGTGAAGCACATTGGGCTACCGTTGTGTATGAAATGGTCTATGTAATAAACTTGACTAAACTTGACTATTTAATGCTAACATTAAGATATTTTTCAAGTGGAGTTTTATACACATAGAATCATTTTTTTCAGGTTACTCAGGATTTTAAAGCAAAAATATATACCAATGATACGACCGCTGGAGTGGTTCGCAGCCGAGTGTGAAGAAGCTGGGATGAGAATCAGCTCCTCTAAATCTGAGAACTTTGAGTCGGAAAAAGGTAGAATGCCTTCTCCAGGTCAGGGATGAGGTCCTGTCTCAAGTGGAGGAGTTTAAGTATCTCTGGGTCTTGTTCACAATTGAGGGAAAGATGGAGCGTGAGATCGGCGGGCGGATTGGTGCTGCATCTGCAGTGATGCGGGCGTTGTACCGATCTGTCATGGTTAAGAGAGAGCCGAGACGGAGGACAAAGCTATTGATTTACTGGTAGATCTACATTCCTACCCTCACCTACGGTCACGAGCTTTGGGTAGTGACCAAAAGAACAAGATCACAAATGCAAGTGGCCAAAATTAGTTCCCTCCGCAGGGTGGCTGGGCTCTCCTTTAGAGATAGGGTGAGAAGCTCGGTCATCTGGGAGGGGCTCGGAGTAAACCCGCTGCTCCTCCAAGTTGAGAGGAACCAGTTGAGGTGGCGCAGGCATCTAGTCAGGATACCTCCTGGATGCCTCATTGGTGAGTTTTTCTGGGCACGTCCAACTGAGAGAAGACCCAAGGGAAGACCAAGGAGACGCTGGAAGGACTGTGTTTATGTTTATGTATTTAGCAGACGCTTTTGTCCAAAGCGACTTACAAGTGATAATCGGCATTTTGCCCTTGAGGCTAACAACAACAATAACAACAACAACAATGACTTCAGTCATGGAGAGGAGGGAACAAGGAGTGGACAGTAGAGAGGGGGGACGGGTGCAGGGAGGGTGCTAGTTAAGAAGATGCTCTCTGAAGAGCAGGGTCTTCAGGAGTTTCTTGAAAATTGAAAAGGAAGCCGCAGTTCTGGTAGTGCTTGGAAGGTCATTCCACATTTGTGGAACAATGCATGAGAAAAGTCTGGATTGTCCTGAGCGTGGTGTAGGCACTGCTAGCCGACTGTGTCTCTCGGCTGGCCAGGGAACACCTTAGGATTTCCCCGGAAGAGCTGGCCCAAGTGGCTGGAGAGAGGAAAGTCTGGACATCTCTGCTTAGGCTGCTACTCCCATGACCTGACTCTGTATAAGTAGCTGAAAATGGATGGACTTTGAGCTAAATCAAAATCAGCCAAAATATAAAGAATCAGCAGGTCAACGCTGCAAAGGAATTTGAAATTGGTACTGGCTCTCAAACTAGAATCAGTGCATCCCTAAAATTAAACTCTGGAAATATGACATTTAAAGTAAAGTTTGACTGAATTGCATCCCTTTTGTCTTTTACATCATGTACCAATGCATGTCTGATGCGACCAAAATGTTTTGAATCAAAATAATCAAACTTGAAAATAATTATAGTGTTTTACTACGATGAGTAAGAGCTGCTGAAGAAACTCATCTTTCGTTGCTAAACTGATATTTTTATAAGATTTACTTTGCTTTGCCCACGTCTATAAAGAGATCCCCTGTGTCATGCTGCTCTGACTGAAAATAAAACCTGTTCTGCAACCCAGTAAAAGCACCAAGTCTGCTGGTGTTTTTGGATATGCTGGCAGAGATTACTGTAATGTCAGGAGGTAAAATGAGAGGTCAAAGGCCGTTTGTGGCACCATTTCAGCCCCAGTCCCTCACATTAAACAAATCCACACTCTTACAGGCAGAGCTGGTGCCTCCACAAGAGCCTGAATCTTTAGACATGTCTCTCACTGTTCAATCGCCCTATTGGGAGGAGATTATAGCAGCTCAGTGCTACACATAATCATAATGGTCATCATAACTGCTGTCCAGACCTGCCCCTTTGGTTGGCCCGAGCTGTTGTGCAACAGTTTAATCAAAATAGAGGTCCTTGTCTCCAGTCTCATTGGACCAGCTTGACAACTTCAGAGGTCATGATCCCTGCTTCCATTGAACAGGGAAACAATAATGCACTTGGGGCAGGGCAGACAGGAGTGAGCAAGCTGGAGGAGGAGATGGATGAGGGTAGTTGGTTTTGTGGCTGATTTTGGCACAAATCAGACCTAAATAACTCATGCAAAAATAAATATATAAGTAGCAGAGCAAAATGTACTGAATCAAAAGTGAGAGCAACAGGTTGCCCAGTGTTTCTACCTTTTTGGCTCCCTGCTTGGCGAACTCCTTGGCCAGGTGCCGACCGATGCCTCGACCTCCACCGGTGATCAGAACCACCTCCTTGGTCAGGTCCTTTCTCCTGCTGGGCAACAGCGCAGACACAGTCGCACTGACGATGTGATACAGCATCTGAAGCGGAAAAAGAAGCACGCGACACGCGCTCCTCAGCTCCATCTCGCGAAGTGCTCACGGGCAGCAGAGGAGTAACGCTTTTTACGCTCAACGTTCTCCAAATCCTCTTCAGAGCGCAGAATCAGACTTCTGAGTTTATCATCTACAGCCTCAAAAAGTTATTTATTTTTTGAAGTAATCCACAAGAGGAGAAAAATGCTAAGAAAAGCGAAGCTGTGTTATTTGGTGCGCTCTGACATCTCCTCAGCGCATCAGGCTCTTCACACGAGTGCGTAATGTCATTTTGCTTGCCAAGCGCCGCTGTAGAAACACAAATCGCTGTAGTGAGCGCTACTGAAACCGCTGGGCTTTGGTGTTGTGTTCCTGTCCTGTCCTGCCTTATATATCACCCCCTCTCCGGTGTTTCCCCTGCTGAAAGGACCTGGATGGATGGATACAGAGGGGAAGTTTGTAGGGGCATTAATCCTGATTGACATGTTAAGTGGGGATGGATATTTGTGCTCCAGTGACCCGTCTGCTTCTCCACTCGCACTGCAGGGGCGGTGCTTCCCAATCCGTGTCCAGCTCCCCCCTCCGGTGGTTGCCCCGCGGAGTCCCAGGTGTGTGCTCAGTCTTGTTTGGAAACATTTACCTCTGTAATCCTGTTGACCTGAACTTAACCCCATTACATAAGGCACAGAGTAACAATGATGTTGCAACCGCAGCTTTCACAACAGCTGTAAGTCAATACAAAGTAAATACTGGGGCATTATTATAGTATGAAAAAGCCAGATGGAAGTTAAAAGAGGGCTTTAAAATATTGTTGTGCATCAGGCTATTCAGTGATCTTCATATTTGGAGGTTTTGAGGTGCTTTCCAAATAAAACTTTTATTTTACAAACAAAAAAATAAATTATATTTTTTTCATTTCTAATGGCGTGAAATACCCCAGTTTATGCTCTATGAACCGACTTTTGAACCGAGCACGGTGGGGGATGGGAGGGCGGATGCCAGACAGGCAATTGACATGCTGTATGGTGAATGTGATCTGGGCCGTTGTCGGCAGTACCCCCCGCTCTGATACCCCCATCATAGCATCAAGCAGACTGCAGCAATGTCCCGCCTCTTCCTTGCTCTTAATGCAGAAGACTCTCCTGGTCTTTGCCATTGCCATTTTATGGGTCAAATGTTGGAGAGGCTTAGGTAGCACTGTATCATACATTTTAGTTACTGAAATCTCTCTTTCTCTCAACTCCTGGTGCTTCCTGCTGCAGGTGTAAAAAGACCATTTCCCCCAGTTGTTTGAACCAAATTTCTTGCAGTTGCAGCCTTTTTGAAGCAGGTTGTATTGTTGATGTGAGAGTACAGTTTGGAATATGGGTCAGCGCAGTTTCAGAAACCTGGCAGGATGACAAACAGAAAAATTGAGTGCATGTCTCTTAAGTGAATCCTTCTTGAATTACTGTGTCTCAGACAAAATTCCAGTGATTTTTACCAGAGTCACCAAATGCTGTTTCGGAACTGCGCTGCTCTGGGTGGCTGCATGTTGGAGTAGCTCCGTTGACTATATGTAAGTTTAGCATTTTTTTGGACATTTTTTCTTCTAGTTTCTCAAGAAAAACTGTATTTTTTGGACACTTTACCTTTCTGTTTCTGGTGCTGTGAAGCTTAGAGGATTTTTACTGCTATGTTTTCACTTTTTTCACTTTTTGAGCATTTGTTATGATGCGTAACCATGGTAACAAGCTGGTTCACAATTGGGAGCAGTTGATTAACATTGGAAAGGCTGAAATAATACCTCAACTGAAGCCACAAATCCCAAATGAGCTAAAACGCAAGAAGTGTGGTTGCAGAGCGGGAGCAAAATGGACACAGAGAAAGGGGAAATTAAGACCATCTCTTCCATCGATCATAATGGGCAATGTGAGATCACTGGCCAACAAGATGGATGAACTCCAAGCCCTTTCAAGGACTTAGCCAGAGTTTCGGCAGTGCAGTGTTATGTGTTTCACTGAGACGTGGCTGCAGGGCCATATCCCCGATTCCAGCATCTCTCTGCCAAGATTCCTGACTGTACGAGCAGACAGAGATCTGAAGAGGAGCGGAAAAAGAAAAGGAGGTGGAGTGGCAGTACTTGCCAACAACAGATGGTGCCATCCAGGTCATTTTTCAGTAAAATGTCGTCTCTGCAGCCCAGATGTTGAACTCTTGGCAGTAAGTTGTCGCCCATATTATTTGCCAAGAGAGTTCACCAGTGTTGTCTTGGCAACCATTTATATTCCACCTTCAGCCATTACTGAAAGTGCATGTGATGCCATCAGTTCCCTTGTCGCTAAGCTACAAACCCAGCACCCCAATGCATTTGTGGCTGTATCTGGTGACTTTAATCATGCCTCACTCTCTGCTACACTTCCAACATTTCAACAGTTTGTCAGCTGCTCCACCAGAGATAACAAGACATTGGATTTGTGTTATGCAAATGTAAAGAATGCATACATGTCCAAAACAAGACCTCCTCTGGGACAATCAGATCACAAACTTGTTTTTCTCTGCTCAGAATACAAACCACTTGTTCACAGGCAACCTGTGACAAGAAGAACTGTGAGAAAATGGTCACAGGAAGCTGAAGAAGCCCTGCAGAGTTGTTTTGAGACCACAGATTGCATGACTCTCGGCCAAGGATATGAAGAGGACATCAATGCCATGACTGGATGTGTCAATGACTATATAAACTTCTGTGTGGACAACATCATACTCACCAGAACAGTGAGATGCATCGCTAACAACAAACCCTGGATCACCAGTGAACTGAAGAATCTGCTAAATGAGATTAAAAAAGACCCTTCAAGGAGGGAGACAGGGAACTATTGAGGAGTATACAGAAGCAACTGAAGATCAAGATCACAGACAGCAAGGAGGCATACAGGAAGAAGCTGGAGAACAACCTACAGAGGAACAATATCAGAGGTGTCCGGTCAGGAATGAAGAAGATCACTGGCTTCAAGCAGAGGAAGGATTGCACAGATGGCAGCCTGGACACAACCAACTGAACAAGTTCTTCAATAGGTTCAGTTCAGAAACAAACCCAGCGTCATCCTCGCCTGTCCCCAGTCAATTAGACATCCCATCCTCCTCTGACCCAACATTTTCCTGTCACACGCCAGCTGTTTTGTCCTCTAACGCAGTCATGGACTCTTCTGGTTCTATAAATCTGTCTTCAACCAAGTCAGGAGAGGCTGCTGCCCCATTTACCTCCCCTTCCCACCTGTCTGTCTCTAGATGTCAGGTGAAGAGGCAGCTGGAGAGACTGAACAGGAACAAGGCTGCAGGTCCAGATGGTGTCAGCCCCAGAGTGCTGAAGGCCTGTGCAGAGCAGCTCTGTGGGATTCTGCATCACCTCTTCAACCTCAGCCTGGCCCAGGAGAAGGTTCCAGTCCTGTGGAAGACATCCTGCCTTGTTCCAGTTCCAAAGAAAACTCGCCCATCAGTCAATGACTACTACAGACCGGTTGCCCTGACATCCCACATCATGAAGGTCCTGGAGAGACTCCTGTTGGTCCACCTGAATAAGCAAACTAGGACATGTCAGGACCCGTTGCAGTTTGCTTATCGCCATGGAGTTGGAGTTGAAGATGCCATCATCCAGCTGCTTCAACCAACCCACTGTCATCTGGGCAAAGCAGACAGCACTGTGAGGGTCATGTTCTTTGATTTCTCCAGTGTGTTTAACACAATTCAGCCTGATGTACTTTGCCAGAAACTCCAGAAGACACAGGTGGGGACCTCAACTATCACCTGGATTAAAGACTACCTGACAAACAGACCACAGTTTGTGAGGCTGAATAACTGCACATCAAACCAGGCACTCAGTAACATTGGAGATCCACAGGGGACTGTACTCTCACCATTCCTTTTCACCCTGTACACATCAGACTTCCAGTACAAATCAGAGACCTGTCATCTACAGAAATACTCAGATGACTCTGCAGCTGTCGGGTGTATCAGAGATGGACAGGAAGCTGAGTACAGAGAGGTGGTGGAGCGCTTTGTGGCATGGTGTGGAAACAATCATCTGACCTTGAATGTGAACAAAACAAAGGAGATGATTTTAGACTTCAGAAGAAACAGGGTGGAGTCAAACACTGTTTCCACCATGGGAGAAGAAGTGGAGGTGGTTGAGGAATACAAATACCTTGGAGTTCACCTGGACAACACACTGGACTGGAAAAAGAACAGCAAAGTCATTTACAAGAAAGGACACAGCAGACTGCGCTTCATGAGAACGCTTAGGTCCTTCAATGTCTGTAGCAAGATGCTGCAGATCTTCTACAAGTCTGTTGTTGAGAGTGTAATCTCTTCAGCCATCGTCTGTTGGGGTAGCAGCATCAGAAGCAGGGACCTGAAAAGCCTCAACAGCCTAATAAAAAAGGCTGGTTCTGTTCTGGGGACAACTGTGGAACCACTGGAGGAGATAATGCAGAGAAGGATTCTCCAGAGAATCAAGAAAATGATGGACAACCCTGAGCATTCTCTTCACAAGACTGTGCGGCAACAGAAGAGTGTCTTCAGTCAGAGACCTCTTCAGTTTCGCTGCAACACTGACCGCTACTGGAGATCCTTCCTGCCAACAGCCATTGTAATATACAATAACTCTTTGACAACTTGATTATTATTATTATTATTATTCTGAGCTACTACAGCAATCAATTTCCCTCTGGGATTAATAAAGTATTTTTGAATTGAATTGAAGGTTTTCAGCTTCTGGGATGGTTTTAAAGAGCAAGCTCACAATGGTTGCTTTGTGCTGGACTCTGCTACTTAAAGTTGTTATAACGAATCTACAGAACAAGCTAGGCTTGAAATGCAAAAGCAATCACATGACTCTCATCCCTCTCCTCTCTTCTCTGAGACACTTCTGCCAGAACTGGAAACCCACAATGTCAGAGGAAACGGGATAGCGCTAAACACCAGCCACTGTTTTCTAGGTCCAGACATCTTTTGTTGTCCATGACTTCAAATGGTGTTTTTCTTCTGGGACTCTGGTAGTTTGTCCAAAAGTTGATTATCTCTGATACAAGTGGAGAACTTCTCGCACCAGGGGTGTTCTGCTGCTAAAGATGTGCAGAACACATAAATATTTGAGTGGAGGACCCAGGGAAGGGCAGCGGTTTGGTGAGACCAACAACTGGATCATCCCATAGATGCTTTTAGTTTGAATGTGTTATTGGGAGATGTTTTTAAACAAATGCAAGAGAGCCACGTTTGTTTTTAATCTCCATGATATATTTTTAGCGATGTTACATTAGAACGTTGTTAAGAGGTATGAAAAAAGGTTTTAAGCTAATTTGTTTTCTAAATTGACTATTGTAGCTTTAGTAAACACCTGTAAGGCATTCTTACCTTGCCTACATTAGAATTTAACACAAGTTATTGGATTTCTAAAATAATAATAATATATAATACTGTCCGCATTGCAGTGAGTGAATTTAGTGTTGTTGCAGAATGCAAAAATGAATGTAGAGTATGTCTCAGAAAGAGCTTCTCATTATACTCATGCTATCACTGCCATCTACAGATTAGCAGTGAAAGTTCAGATTGTCTGTGAGTGTTCTCTCAGCTTTCACAGGATGCATCTGTATGCAGCTATAAACATCTCCAGTCCTTCATACCAATAAGAATAACATGTCTAAATAAATGTGAAACTGTGAATAATAATAATAAAACAATAATAATAGTAATTATAATAATAATAATGATGATGATAAAATAAACGATATAAAGAAGATACACAAACAGTAATCCTGTGCAACACCCCGTTGTGGATATCTGGGGTTTCGTGTAGTTAGTTTGACTACACAGCCATGAAATATGTTGAGGAATGCAATTATTTTTCCTGCCAACAGGGAGCTAAAGATGTCATTATGTGAAACCAAGGTCACATGTGCAGCATGCAAATATAGATGAGAGAAGAGACTGAAAGCAGGTAGATAAAAGATTTTCCCCTAATGACTTACCTTCAGCCTCGCAGACCAGCCACAGCACGGACATCAGCTTGACAATTTTAATAATTGGCTTTTGCTGCTCTTGTTGCAGCCTTCTTCCTGCCAGCAATAGGACTTGTGTACTCTATGCTGATTAATTTTGGCATTCCTAGTGGAGTTGCAAATAGTGGGAATCTGCAAACAGCTTGTGGCTAGTTTGTTAGCCTGTTAACCAAGGTGAGCATCGCCACGTGTGTAATTGTTTTTGGTTGTTTTGTCACGCCTCTAGCAGGGTATTGTGATTATTTTGGTAATAATTCTTTTTTTGTGGTTAAGGCTTTTGTTTAGAAAGAAAAGGAAAACAGTTCTCAGCTGTTGTAAGCCATGTGCCGTTGTCCTTTCTTTGTCCTCCAACAGCTGATAAAACCAAGATGAGAGAAATTCTAGATAAGAAATCTTGTCTTCCAAGGGCTCGGAGACACACAGTGCGTGCTTCTCTTCTTTGATGTTGTCACTGTAAATATAGTCTCTCAAAGAGAATAACCTTCACTTTGACTTTACCCATCACAACCAGTTTTATGTTGTTTGTTCTTGGCATGCCTGCCTTTTGTTGTACGTTTGTTTTTCTTCTCTTGCCAGGGACAAATGTGACATCATTTGGTGCATGGGTCACCCTGACATCTGAAGTCATGGCTTTGCAGCCTGTTCTGACCCAGTAAAGCAAGTGCCTGCAAGTTTTCTAATTCCTCAATGCAAGTCTCTTAACCAACCATTGTTTATGGGAGCTGGAGAAGATGCTTCGTGCATTTTTATGGTAGTAAATGTGTACTGAGAAATATTTCCCAAATGCACTTGTGGTGTCTGCCCCAAACACCTACAGTTTAACATATTGTCCTTCCTCGTCTCCTCTTCACACCTATGAGGAACAGTTTAACCCCCCTGATACAGGTGCCCTGCTCAGCTGGATGACCGAGTTTGCAAATTGTAGATTCCTGCCTGTGACTGAGCCAGTTTGAGGATTGGACTCTTGCAGAGTGGTAGTTGGAAGGCGAAGCACAGGGGGTAACCTGGCAGAAGTCCTGTGCCAACGGCTGGCAAGGCGAGTAGGCAGACATCTGCCATTCCCCTGCGCTCAGGTCCTAATCTACCCAACACTGCAGATGGCAGATTTTAACCTGCCCTCATACCGACAAAATCATGCTGTGCCCATATTGTTTAGTGGCTGGATGCCATTCTATTTTCTGCAATACCTCATCGGAGACTTGTCTGTGCCAAGAAGTGCTCAAAGGGAATGATGCCCCCGCTGAGCTTAGGTCATGCAAGGAAAAGTGGCTCTGCCCCATTCAATTTAGCCTCTGAGTGCCTCACACATGGTTTCAGCGAGCATCCAGAACCCAGAACACGATAAAGAGGCGTAACACACAATCAACGCAGGTTTGAAACCTGAGGTCACACATTTACTGGTAGATGACGTTATCATTCGTTAAATCCATTTACTTTCATTCCCGTCACCTGTTTATGTGGTGTTGTAAAGGAAGGTTGAGTTCTTGGGAAAATGGGTTGCCTGGGAACAAATAGTGAATAGATTTAACTCCATTAAACAAAAAACCTCACACAAAATTAACAAAACATGTTCTATTCCAACAACTGGCCTGGAGACAAAATGTCTGGAAGGTCAGTTTAGCACAACTTCATCAATGGGTACAATTAAAGAAGAGATATCCAAAGGTGTCCAAGCCCAAGACTAAAGGTATGCCATTATTTTTAAAGATGGATCACATCTCCAGTTCTCTTACAGGATGTCCAGCTCACCTTCCCCTCAGTGTTTGTCGTCTCTATGGTACCAAAGGTTTCATTTTCCTGCACTAAGAGATCGGGTAAACACACCAACATTTTGATTAGTCATTTTAGCTCAGAAGCAGTCTCATTCAGCGTGTTTTTGATACAAGGTAAAAAAAATGAATCTAAGTGGTATTGAACAAAATAAATGGACTCAGAGTGGATGGAAAATAGAGCAGCGGTATGGAAATAAAGTGTTGTTAGGCAACTGGGCTGAAGAAAGACTTCAGGTAGGCCTCGGCTTTTTACTTGTCAATGTATATTGTTGTACCACAGTTTTGTGTTTTGATGCAAGGCTGTAATGTCTACAGTTTATATCAGTTTAGGCTGAATTCAAAATGAGATGTCCTACTGGTGAGATACTGCTCTTTAGGATTAGATAAATCCTTAGTAGACCTATCCACCTTAATTTTGATTAGCTTCGTGGAGAAACGCTGATGCAAGCAACATCCGGTGAGATACCGGAAGTGGTGCACACCCATTGGTTTGTATTGTGAGGTTTTGTTGCTAGTTTTTTTTAACATCTGAAGAGGACCGTAAAATATTTACCACTGAAAAATGTACTTAGAAAGATCAGGAAGATGTTGCCCTTTTGGCTCTTTTACTAACAACCAGAGAAAATGTAATTTGTAGCTACAAAAGCAATATTAAAACATGCACCTATAGAGTGAGAGCGTGTGCAGCTGTGAGCGCCAGTATGGTTTTCACCACCTCCACAGAGATGGGGAATCCAGAAGGATGTGCCAGAAGAATCTTAACTTGAAAACCACCACATGCTGGTGAAGGTTCTCAGTCATCCAGGTCATGGTAATCCCAAAGGGTTCAAATGAAGGCAACTGGTCTTCTTTGGTTTCTTGAAGACATTTCGCTTCTCATCCGAGGAGCTTTGTCAATTCTAACTGGATAATGGGAGAGTCAAGCTTATTAGCTGTAGCTGTCTGTTGTTGTTTAAACAGAAACTACTCTGGGTACCCCTCCTCTCCACCCCCGATGAGTCGTTAGCCTCTATTGAGAGGGAGTCGTTGTGTTGATTAGACACAGGAAGGTGTGACCTAGACTGAAACTGCTTAGGAATGAGATTCAAAGCTGCATTATAGGTACTGGAAAGGTGAAATCTAAGCCCCTCCCCTATTTAAAGTAGGTTTCTCACATTCGACATAGATAGCTTCTTTTACTCCTCTCGAAATCCATCTATGTCTACCAGGTGCCTCATTTATCAAACTTTCGTAGAAACGTTTGTGTATTCTATTCTATAATGGAATTTAGAATGTTCGTACAAACAGCCAAAAGTCTGATTTATGAAACATGCGGTGGCCTCTCGCATGCACGTTCCTCCGCAATCAGCTTTTGATAAATCCCACTTGCGCGTACTCAGGTGCTCATGCCTGTTCACAGCCATTTGTACAGAGAAACGCCTTCAATTAACCATATTTGGTCGTGCTCCATCCTCAGCATGTGAGGGGATTCCCTGTTTTTTTGTCCAGAAAAAATAAGAGAAACTTTATTGACAAAGAGATCGAAATGCTTGCTGCCGAAGCGCAAAAGAACCAAACAAGTTACAGAGGTTAAAAATGTGGTCGGGACAGAGGACAGGTTCCTGTCAGCAATAAATAAAAAAATGGATTTGATCAATCGTAGAGTATTGGGTTGTCGTTCACATTTAAGGAGTCGTTCTGTTCGGAGTTATTTAAAATGTCTGACAGTGCAGCATCCTTTGAGCTGTCATCCAGTCTGCCGACCTTGGCAACGCGTGATCGGGGAGCAGGGGAGGTTCTGGGGGGTTCTCATTGTTGTAAAATAAAATATGAACTGGGATCGGATTTATGAGGTTTGTCTGTCGCACCACAGAGAATTGACAAAGCTCCTCCTATGAGAAGCAAAACGCCTTCATTTGAACCCTTTTGGAAAACCACCACAAACTTTATTTGTGAGTTTCTTTCATTTTATTGTGAAAACCCGGAGAGGATCCTGTTTTGTTGTTCGATATGACAAACCTCCAGGGGCAGAAGCACCTGACAGCACAAGTGACAGATTATAATAAGAATAATTATTATAAATGTTTTTTCAGTGTTCCACACCTTTAAAGGGGTACTATACAATGATGTGAATCAAATGTGAAATGTGAGCTTTGCTGATCCTTGATCGAGGCACATTGCTCAAGTCCTCATGTATCATTCCTTTTTCATTTCCTTTGCAATGTCTGTTTATTTTGTCTGACACAGTTCACTCGGGAGCCAAGGATGGCCAGCAGCACCAGTCGTGTGGACTACAAGCCCCACTGGGACTTCAAGCCAGACGTCTCAGAGAGGAGATCTGCCCTGCTGAGAGCTGAGGTCAGCCTTTAACTGCTCATTCTAGGCATTAACACCAATTGAATGTCTGTCACAAGCCTGCAAGTCAGGGTTTTCTTCTCTAAATTGTGGACACTTCTGCATAATATTGATGGGCGAGATAAAGGGCTGTGATAAAACTCCTTATGAAAGCAAGTTTCTGGTGAGACTCAGCAGTCGTGAAGAATGTAAAATCATCAGTCCTAAAAGGCACTTAAAGGCTAGTTAGAGCCATTTGCTGGTGACACACGATGAGCCTTTTGAAGAGCATTGAAAAAGAATACGTCTGGCCCTGAATATCTTTATCCATTCAAACCGTTTGCATGCAGTTTGTACCAAGACTTCTGTTTATTGTTATCCAGGGAATTCCACCAAAGATGCTGTTTGGCCATCACCACTCCCCATCCTCACATTCGACAACGGAGTATGGATGGAGCTTCGCACAGAGGCCTGACTGTTTTTTGCCAAAACTGAAATTCTTGGAATCAGATAAATTGGAACTGAAGAGGTCCGAAACGGAAAATCCTTGTAAGACAACAAAATAGAAACTCTACTGCAGACACAGATAGAAACATATCTGAAATTGTACATTAACGGTTTGAAGGCGCCTCTTCTACTGGTAAAATTCAGTCAGCAGTGTATTTAATGATATTTGAGAGTCTGATTAACATTGTCCTTTTATCTTCCCTCACAACCAACCCAGGCCCATTGTCACCCACAAATCCCAGTCCTGAAAAGATGCAATCACATCATTCACCCATGACTTTGTATCAGTCAACTTATCAACGACACCCACCTGATGCCTTCTGCAAGAACCGGTGTGCCAGGGCATCACGGATGCTTTCCAGTCATCTTTACTCGGTCAACAACAACCACAAGGACCTGAATCTGAGACAGAACACCCTGCTACAAGTCCCTGACCCGCAGGTCCACACAGGAACCACACAGGCTCAGAAACACGACCGTGGCTTTTGAACTACATCACATTTTCTTTGGAGTCTAGAACACTTGCTGAAAGTGTTGCTTCTCTTTCCATTTTATTTATTATTTTAACTCTTTTTCACAAGGAAATCCATCTATTGGAGAATGTTTTTAAAAGATGTGGTTCACTGATAAACCATTTATACATTTTTATTTCTGATTCTAACGGGTCACTCTGAGTTTTTCATGCAGGCTGTACATGAAAATAGTCTCCTACACCTATCTCCTGTACTAGCTTCTGATAGAAAACAGACAATGAAACTCTAGGATTTGAAAAAGCAAACAGATCTTTGTCAAGCGGTAGCTTGGACTCACCCATACTGGTTCGCGACAGGGAAGGCTGTTGTTTTAGTGTCCAGGAAACAGCAGATAACATCTTATCTTTTAATTGTTAGCGTTAGCAACTCAATCACATGACAAAACTCCTCCAGGCTTGTGTTATTTTTTGAGATAAAACATCCATGCCGCAGAGCAAAAACAGTTAGTGGTTAAGTCACATTGCTCTTTTCCAATTTAAGGCAAGATGCCCAAACATCAGGAAATAAGACTGTAGATCCTGCCGCATTCGTCTCTCCTCTGACGTGGCGGACTTGTCCCTGCTGATGCAGGCATGTCTGGGCTTTTTTTTGCCCTGAGTTCAGCTTGCAAGGCATTCATTCCTACTGGAGACCACTCCAAATGTACTGATTGGAGTTTCCCACATCTTTAAGTATATCTCTGTGAGTTGTATCTCTGTTCTTGTGTGAATGGTGACATCATAACATTGATAACATGGCATTACCAATGAATTTGCTACTGCTAGTTTATCCGTTTAATTATAGATCCACTAGGATAAATACAATAAAGTTTATCTCTCACCAAATAGAATCTTTACTAAGACATCACAATATAACTATAGACACATTACTTTGTCTTTGTGTGTGTGTGTGTGTGTGTGTGTGTGCGTGCGTGCGTGCGTGCGTGCGTGCGTGCGTGCGTGTGTGTGTGTGTGTGTGTGTGTGTGTGTGTGCTCTGTCTTCTCGATCCCCAGTGAGTCGTGGAAGATTGCTGCTTATACTGATCCAGGATCCTCTGGAGGTTTCTTCCTGTTAAAAGGGAGTTTTCCTCTCCACTGTCCCTTTATGCTTGCTTAGTATGAGGATTGCTGTAAAGTCACTGACACTAGTCAGTGACTTGATGCAATTTGCTGGGTTCCTTATATAGGAAACATTATTTCTGATTGGCTTCATGAACTGATCTGAATTGGAATTTTTATTATGTGAAGTGCCTTGAGACGACTCTTGTCGTGATTTGGCGCTACATAAATAAACTTGAATTGAATTGAATTTCAGACTAGACTGGATTACATTAAATCTGAAGGAATAATGCTGATAATGGTTATGATGAAGGTGTTTATGTAAACCAGAAAAGAAGAGACATGTTTAACTCTCATTAAGTGTTTAATCACGAGTGAAAGACTTTGAATAAGAAGAACGAAAGATGTCTGAGGGTCAGTTGTCTGGGCCTTCTTTTTGTCCACATCCCTGCTGCCTTCAGTGCAGCTCTGTTTCACTGTTAGTTGGTTAATCCTGTTTTTTGAATTTTTCTTATTTTTTGCTGTCTGTGTGTCATGTGACTCTAACCTGCGTGTGTCACAGTAAGCCTTCAGAACCACTCAGCAAAGCAACGCTGTGTTAGCCGTCTGAACCACATGATGGTGCTACAGCAGCGCATCACCTGTGTTTACTATGGCTTAGAAGGGATTTCAAAACAGCAAACAACTAATTAGTTAAATGTGTTTTTATGCACTTAATTTGCTAATATTTTAAAATAAACTGTAAACTAAACCATTTGCTTTTTCACTTTCATGCAGGCTGTACATGAAAATAGTCTCCTACACCTATCTTCTGTACTAGCTGAATGGAATGTTAAGTTCAACTAAAGATGTTAAAAATTAACCACATGTTTTAATGAGTTAGTGACAAATAAATGGTACATTCTGATTTTTCTTTAATATTTATAAGACAGAAGAAAAGGTTTGCATCATACGGTAAACAATCATTGCATTCATGATTAAGTCTGTTCTAGTTGTTGTTAGGGAACGAGTTCAATGACAAAAATAAATGTAAATCTAAAGGTTGAAGTGTTTCAAACCCAGCGACGAACGCTTTGGTAGCTTACCTGTTCATGGTGCATGCCGTGCCCATTTACATCCTGTCATTTTTAAAGAGCAGTGTAAGATAATGGCATTGTGCTCAGGCTGGAGTGTAAGTTATATGTGTGCCCTACAGAGGAGCGGTGATAAATAATCTCTAGATTGGCTGAACACATAATTAGATCCCAGTGAACTAATTTACCTTCAAGAATTTTGTATTCATCATCTTTTGCAGTAAAAAGGTTAAGAGTCTGGGATGACAAAAATAATCACAACGGAAGTGAAGCAAAGAAAGCAGCAAAGCAGAAGCAAACAGCCGTGTGCCTACCACTTACGTTTAGGGCCGTCAGACGGGAAACACGTCTTTATCTCAATACCTGAGCCAGGAAAAAGAGCCTTTCATGTAACCAGCAGACTATAGCTTTGTTTATAAAATCTCATAAATAACAGAGCAATGTGTATGTTTGCAATAACATTTGGGGCAAGGCTGCCTGTGCAAATAATAATAGTAATAAAAACGGTCATGCATCTGATGTAGTTTACTTTTGTAGGACTACTTAGCAACTATAATCTTATCAGTGGTGAAAAGCTTAAAATGTTTTCACACACTTGTCTGTCGAGGACTCTTGTCAGGTAGAGAGAGGACAAAGGGAAAAAGTATGCCCTTGGCTGCAGAGAGGATGCTCAAATCTTCATCTGCAAAAGCAGGCGAGATCTCATCTGCCCTGAACTTCATGGTGAAGTGCCGGCTGATGCAGTAGACTGTGCTGCCCATTGCAACACACTGGAAAGCAGGGCAGCGTAGAAGTCTCTTGCAGCTGCACTCATACCAAAGGCGTGCCACTGTGTGGTAGCGGTACACGCTGACACCCAGCAGCGTGTTGACATCAAACCTGTAGAGAAACCTCCCCACGGCAGCCATGTCTGCAGTTCTGTCGTTGCTGCTCAACATCAGACTCGGCCTCCAGGTGTCGGCCTTGGGGTTGTAGCGCAGCAGCATATACCGAAGAGTACCCCCAGAAACAAAGAGTTCTCCGCTGCACACTGCCACTTGGTGTGCAACAGCAAACGTATCATTAGGCAGCGGAGCCACAAATGTCCACCTGTCCTGTCGTGGATCATAGCGCTCCACTGAAGAGAGACACTCCCCTCCGATGGCGTAGATGTAGCCCTCCAGTGCCGCCAGTTTGCAGCGAGGCCTGGCTTTGTTCATAGGACTGATCTCTTTCCAAATGGATGTCAAAGGATTGTAGCAAAGCACTCTCTTTGAGGGGGTCATTTCTGTGTCCCTGCCTTGGCAGCCTACTGCCACAAATAAGTAGTTATCCATCGTGCACATGGCACAGGCGTTAGAGATGACCTCCTGTGGAATCAGGCAAAGAGTATGCCAGCAGTCTTTGTAGTCATCATAGTAATACATTGCACTGGACTGACTCCTCTGTTCAGCGTTTACTCTCTGCCCTTCTGTTTTTTTCAACCAGTCTTGAGGGTCCATATCTGCAGCAATGACAAACGGTCGCCCTCTCATCCTCTGCTTCCGAATTTGTTCTCGCTCATTAGCCATCAGTCGTCCATAAAGGTTGGGATCCCGAAGCACCTGCAGATAGTTGTCCGACATGACCCCGAGGGCTGCTTGCTCAATAGACTTCTGACCTTTTTTCTTGGCAAGATGAAGGACCTCTAAACAGTTCCCTAAATCAAGTTTACTCTTTATTATTTCGAGATCTGCATTGAGGAAATTTTCATTTGGAAGGAGCAAAAATGGAGCTCTTGCGTTGGTCTCTAGATCAGTCTCTTCCTCCATTTTATGTTTTCCATCTGTGGAGCTCAGAAGAGGGATAGTCTCGTCAGATGTCGATGCCAGAGTTTGAGCTGTTGAAGTTGAGGCTGTTGAAAACTGAAAGGGCGCGGGGAGCTCAGAGTTCTCTGCAGCAGACAGATAGCTCATTTTCCGTAGGCGTGCAGGCCTTGCAGGGTGTCTCAGCCCCAGGCTTTCTTGTGGAGAGGTATCCTCAACTTCACTTTCTGGAAAAACAAGATCGCGTATCATGATAGAGCTCAGAGAGGAAGGGGGTCTTGTGAGGCTGCTGTCATGGCTTCCAAAGTCCTGCTCTGAATCGGTGTGTCTCTCATTTAGACTCAGCAAAGTCTTTGAATTTGCAAAGGAGTGAGACAAAGACTCTACGTAGTAATCGTAAATCTTTCCATGAACAATCTGCTCTCCGGATCCTTCCAGCACCACTTTAGCATCTCCCACTTTTATTTCTGCCTTGGAGAGAAAGCTAGAGTAAACCCCCTGGTGCTCCAAGTCCTGTCTCAGCTCCCTGCCCACACCCACACTACCCTCCAGCTTAGTCAAAAGACAAGGGGAACGGCGTCCCTTTGGAGAGGCCATTTTATTCTCCATGGGCTCACAAAGACTCGAAGCAGATCCAAATAGAAGATGACTGGTGGAACCTGTCAGCTTAATCTCATGAGGCAGATTCTCCTCTTCCTCACGTTCATCTTGGTCACAGTTTGATTTATCAGCTGCTTCTTTGCTCATTTCAGCTTGATGCCGAAGTTCTGTACGTACTTCCTTTCTGCATTCAGATGCCGGATCCTCAGTGGTGGAACCTTGCCTGTCCTCATCGTCCTTACTCTCATCTTCTAAGCTTTCACACTGTAGCGTCCTCCTGTAGTTTTGGCAGCCAGTATTTTGTATTTCTTTCTTGTCTTTGCCACAGGGCTGTTTATTCCTTGCACCCCTGGAGCCGTAGAACTTGTAGGCCCAAGAAATCAGCAGCACTGCAGCCACAGAAACACTCAGTTTCAACAGCTGCTGCATGTCCAACTGTGCTCCCAAAAGCTCCACAATGGGCATTGTAAAAAACAGTTAAAACAAGGCAGCGATGACTGATGGTGGATCCTTCAGAATGATGTCAGTGGCGCTCAGCTGACTGCGGCTGTCTGGTTCTCACTGTAAAAGAGCTGGTGTGATCTGATGACAACGCCTCTTTGCCCAAAGGATCACATGTAAAATGGTAACCTTAGCATTGCTATTTGCATCTTCTGCTGTAGAGGCGGAGCACTGTTCACGCACCACCTGTGGCAGGTTAGTTACACTAACAGGAGCCAGCCATGTGCAGAAGTTAAAAATACAGACAGATCAATATTTGATTTGCTGACTCACTCTTGTTTTTCTTATGACTCTACAGGTGACAGCTAAAAACAATGAAGAAAAAAAGTCTTGTTTTTTTCCCTAACCTCTGCCGTGTGTTTACATAAAATGGAAATGATTTAGGATGCACATTTGTGTTGCTGTAATGTAGAAAAATACTAAACCATCATTCCAGAGAACCCTCACCAAACCTGCACAAACATACATTCAGAGCTCCAGGAGGCAAATCTGGTTTGAATAAGGGGTGGAGAATGATGGGCAGCATTTATCAAATCCTTAATAACCAGGATGCATCTGTTGACACAGCCATGCAGCAGATCAAAGGTCTTTTCTTTGTCAGCAAAGATGCTGAAATGACTGTCTGTGAAAAAACGTCCCAAGCTGCTGTCAGAAAGGTAAATGGCACTTACAAGGTAATATAAAAACAAAGCCGTCAGGTGACCATAGGAATGGAAATGCACTGAAAAGACTGTCATTCGCTCCAGTTGGATGCTAATGTGTGCATCCATCCTGTTGGAAACAGGTTGCTGCTGTCGAGCTGTCGTCTGCGTAGCAGATAACACGGAGCAAGGCTACGCTCACCAACATGTGGAGACTTGTGGAGAGGGTGTGTCGGGTGTTCTGTTTGTGTTCTGGGTCATGTGATACCCGCGTCTGTTTACAGCATAAAGGAAACTGGATTCAACAGGCATGGCTGACTCCTGAATAATTCATAATCGGACCATGTAGTTTTATCGTCTTCATGTCCTCCAACAGACAGCAATAGACCAACTTCATTGCATACATTTTTGTCACTTCTTATGTTCTTATGTTGATATTTAACAAAGTACAAGTTCTGTTCCAGACTTTCATCACATAAATTAAAGAGACTGTAAATACAAGCCGGGTGATAAAATCACAGCATTTATTCAGAAAAGCAGCTCAAAATACGTTAAAACTGAAATTCAATGACGAAAGGATCGAACATATTATCTGCTATTTCAAAAGACGGAACCAGCTCCTCTTCCACCTTCCATGTTGTCAAATATCGACATTTAGGGAGTTCGATTCCATAGAATGAGAGTGCGTCAAAAACCCACAAGAAAGGGGGTCCCGACATTTAGCTTTTCCTATTTTTAGAGCTTAAGATGACATCATATCTACCCATTTAGTCCGTCCATTTTCTTCAGATACATCTGAGGGTGATACACCCTCTTGGTGTGAACTGTAAATTGTACTTGATAATCAGGATTCACTCTTTCAACAATATAAAGGAGGACTGTGTCAATAAAGAAAATGAAGATAACTAAATATCTAAAACAGGGTTTGAATGTTTCCTGACTATGAAGGATTATTTAAATAGATCATAAACAATCTTCATGACCTTGAACGTGTGTGTGTGTGTGTGTGAGTGTGTGTGTGTGTGTGTCCGTGCATGTGTGTGTGTGTGTGCGTGCACGTGCGTGTGTGTGTGTTTGTGTGTGTGTGCGTGTGTGTGTGTGTGTGTGTGTGTGTGTGTGTGCTTGTGGGAGTGTTTGCAAGCGTGCCTGTGTGTGCATGCGTGTGTGCAAGCGTGAGTGTGTGTGCATGTGTGTGTGTATGTGCGTGCGTGCACGTGCGTGTGCATGTGTGTGTGCGTGTGCTTGTATGTGTGCGTGCGAGTATGTGCGTGTGTGTGTGTGTGTGTGTGTGCGTGCGTGCATTCGTTTGTGTGCATATGTGTGTGTGTGAGTGTGTGCTTGTGTGTGCGTGCACGTGCGTGCACGTGCGTGTTTGTGCATGTGTGCGTTCATGCGTGTGTGTATGTGTGTGTGTGCGTGCGTGTGTGCATGTGTGTGTGTGTGGGTGCGTGCGTGTGTGTGCATGTGTGTGTGTGTGTGCGTGCGTGCGCGTGTGTGTGCATGCGTGTGTGTGTGCGTGCGTGCGTTCATGTGTGTGTGTGTGCGTGCGAGCGTGCGTTCATGTGTGTGGGTGTGCGTGCATTTGTTTGTGTGTATATGTGCGTGTGTGTGTGCATGTGTGCGTGTGTGTGTGCAGGTTAGTGAGTGAGTGTGCATGTGTGTGGGAGCGTGTGTGTGTGTGCAGGTTAGTGAGAGTGTGTTTGTGTGTGTGCGCATGTGTGTGCATGCATGTGTGTGTGTGTGTGTGCGTGCGTTCATGTCTGTGTGTCTGTGCGAGCGTGCGTTCATGTGTGTGTGAGTGTGTGTGTGTGTGTGTGTGCGTGCGTGCGTGTGTGTGTGTGCAGGTTAGTGAGTGAGTGTGTGTGTGTGCATGTGTATGTGTGCGTGCATGCGCATGTGTGTGTGTGCGTTTGTGTGTGTGTGTGTGTATGTGCATGTGTGTGCGTATGTGTGTGTGTGTATGTGTGTGTGCGTGTGTGTATGTGTGTGTGCGTGTGTGTGTGTGTGTGTGTGTGTGTGTAAAGAAAAGGCTCATTGTGCATACCCAGAACTGCAAGCTTTGAGACTTATGACCGCATCAAACATCTCTCATCACTGCCGTAAGTAAAGTCAAGGCTTGTGAGTTTTATCATCTCTCCATTTTAATACAGGTGTAATGAAACAAATGCAACAACCCTGTTTACACAAGCTCCCTCTGGTGAACTCCTCACTGGAATGGCGGCTAAAATGATCCTACTAGTACTGTTAATGTCTGGGGAAAGACTTATGCATTGTACACAATGTAGGTCACAAGTAAATAGCTGGATTACAGGCCAGTGACAATGAGTTGCAGAGCTGTCAGTCGCAACACCTGGAATGGAGAAAGAATCTTGAAACGTTACATGCACCACAACCCCAAAACAGCAGACACGTGTTAGATTTATTTTATCTGTCCTTTGGAGAACTGTCGTGTAGTTATAAAAAAATCCAAGTGGTAAACCAAAAGTTTTCTTCTTTTGTTTCTGAAAACAGTTGAATGAAGTACAAACAAACGTGGAGAAGCATAAACAACAACCTCAGCAACCATCCCTCACCATAACCCATATAACCTTTTAATTATTTTTCAATATTTACACTGTTGTACACAAAATACACTCAAAAATGAGATTTCTCCAAGTTTCTCAATGCATTTAAGTCTTCTTGTACATTCTGAGCAATCAAAAAGAGAATTATATTAATATATATAAAAAAAAGTTCTCTTGGAGCATCTGCCGATTTGCTCTTCCATTGTTTTTCAGCTCATTGCCAATCTGGTTCATTCCAGGACATGGAACAGATGGGAGTGGTTGACAGGAGTTGAGCAGTCAGAGACAGTTCCATGTTTCACATTTCACTAAACACCAATAACATTTTGAATCATTAAAAATAAAATCAAAAAGCTTTTTTTTTGTCTCGGTTTCAACTGATTTTATTCATCAACAAGCAGATCTGGGACAAGAAACAAAAAAAGGGACATTGGATGATCTATATAGGAGAAGGTTACGGTCATGTTCATCTCATTGTTCTTATAATATCTTGATTATTATTATTTTTAAAACAGTGAGCACCATCAGAGGGTGATACTGTTTCCTGTTTCAGTGACTTGAGTGATGATGGCAGGAGAAGGCTTGCAGGGCTCTGGAAAGTCTCTGGACTACGTGTGTGTGTGTGTATGTCTGTGTGCATTTGCAGATGCTATGTGTTTTAGGGCCAAAGATGTGTGTGTGTGTGTGTGTGTGTGTGTGTTCATGAGAGCGGCTGTCTTGAATTTCAGTTTTCACGTAAGCTCCGCCGTAACTGTGACGACAAGCGTAATCCACGTCAGTCCAAGCACACCTGCGCAGGAGGCCCCGTCTGGAAAAAGTAAAGAAAAAAACAGACATTTGTTCATCTTTGAGCTTGTTTTTAGACAATGAAAGGAATTGTTTTTAAAGTGGACATATAACCTTTTTTCTTAAGTTATTATAGTTCTACAGTCAATACAAAGCATGTTTATGAAGTTCTTTGCTCTATCTCACCCACATTAAGCAATTTCAGCAGTTTTATTATTTGACATTTTCAGTACCTTCCAGAATGAGCCGTTTCAGGGCTCTGTCACTTTCAAGCCCTTTTTAAAAATCACACCATGCTGGCAAATCAGCGCAATACTGCCGCCACGGTAAGTCTTATGAACGTGCCATGGCGGAATGGGAATATGGGAATTTGTCTGGCAATGCCTGACTTGTGAATGCATATTACGCCTTGGCGCAACAGTGGGTGGTGTCACAATCACATGGGGAGTTACTGCCTAGCTTCGACTGACAACTATATTGAAAATGAAAGAAAACACAGGCCGTAAGTTTGGCTTTTGTTAACGGAAGAGCTGAGATGATAAACTGGAGTGGTGCAGAGCTCCATGAAGTTCTCTCAGAGCTGGAGCTTAGATCACCAGACAGTCCACAGGGTATGTGGAGGACAGACAGCTGAAGGAGTGGCATGTGCAAAAAGCGTGGATGTGTTTTCTTCCCTCCCTCCTGATATCGAGTGTTTACAGAGGCAGTAGAAACGAAGACAATAAAAACAAAAACAAATAATAATCACAAAACTAACAAGGACATGTGTGTGTGGTTGTTTTGTAGGACATTGAAACATTTTGGCCTAAAGCAGCTCTGCATTAGCAGCTTTACTTAATGATTGTTTTTGTTCATTTGGCTCAAATTGTGAAAACCAGTTGAGTGTTTTTATTTTAAGGGACACCGTGTTTGAAGAGACTTTTTATGTTTTAGATAACATTCAGCTAGATATCTATAAATGAGCCAGAAGTGTCATTACTCTGGACTTCTGTCTACTAAAGCGACTCAGTGTGATTGAACTAATTCGGATGTTGAAACAAAAACATGTCTGATCTTAATAACTATTTAACATCCATAAATGCAGCTGAGTGTGAAGTAGCTGGGGTGAGACTCAGATCCTTTAAATCCGAGACCATGGTCTTGAGTCGGAAAAGGCTTTGTCCAGGTCAGGGATGAGGTCCTTCCCAAGTGGAGGAGTTTAAGTATCTCGGGTCCTGTTCACGAGTGAGGGAAAGATGGAGCATGAGATCGATCTGCGTATTGGTGCTGAATCTGCAGTGATGCAGGCGTTGTACCGACCTGTCGTGTTGAAGAGAGAGCTGAGTCAGAAGGCAAAGCTCTCCATTTACCGGTCGATCTATATTCCAACCCTCACCTATGGTCACGAGCTTTGGGTAGTGACCGAAAGAACGAGATCACGGATACAAAATATCTCTGCAGGGTGGCTGGGCTCTCCCTTAGAGATAGGGTGAGAGGCTTGGCCATCCGGGAGGGGCTTGGAGTAGACCCGCTGCTCCTCCACATCGAGAGGAGCCAGTTGAGGTGGCTCAGGCATCTAGTAAGGATGCCTCTTGGACGCCTCCCTGGTGAGGTTTTCCGGGGACGTCCAACTGGGAGAAGACCTAAAGGAAGACCCAGGACACTCTGGAGAGACTATGTCTCACGGCTGGTCTGGGAACACCTTAGGATTCCCCCAGAGGAGCTGGTCCAAGTGGCTGGACGGAGGGAAGTCTGAGCATCTCTGCTTAGGCTGCTGCCCCCGCGACCCGACTCGGATAAATGGCCAGAAATGGGTGGATGGATGGATGGGTTTCTTGATATAAAACATAGCTATAAAACCAAAACCACCATCATAATGGGAGTAAACGTATGATAAATGATAACAGACCCACACTTGTAAAGCGTCTTTCTGAGTCAGAGGACTCCAAATTGCTTTACACTACAGTGTATCGTTCAACCATTCACACACACAATAACACCCTGTTGGTGATGAGCTACAGCTAAAGCTTGGTTTATGCTTGACGCATTTACTGTCCGCTTGGTGATGCGGCTCGCGGATGGAACGCGCTTCACAACTTGCAGCGTTTATGGTTCATGCGGCTTGTCTCTGCGGTGAGCCAATATTCTCCCAAACTGTAGGGGGCAGCATGGAACTCTATGGCATGCATCCAACACTACACTATAGTAGAAGTAGAAATTACTGTTGTTTATAACAGTTGTTAATGAAAGTTGAGAGCCAACTCAGCTCTTTTAGAATTGGTGGAGTGTTCTTGTTTCCACCAGGATCACCGCTTTTCCGTTTGTTCCCCTTCCTTGCCTTCACATATCGGTCCCTCATGTTTGTCCAGCATTTTTTAACAGCGTCCTCGTCTTTTCCGACAGTGCGAGCTATTTATCTCCAAGAATTATTAACAACATGTTGATCACAGTGATCTCTGAGAGCTGAATCAAACAAATGTCTGTATTTACGAACTCTGCCATAACTAGTTCTTGCCAGTCCGCCATGTTTTTCCATGTTCGACCGTCCGCGTGGTTAGAAAATTTCCTAGGTGCGCGGTGCGGAAAGTTCGGGCCATGCGGAGGCCAGGTGGAGGGGCATGGTTGTTAAAATGACGCAATTTTGCCGCACGGAGCCGTGAGAACTTCGCGGACGTGTCAAGCATAAACCAACCTTTAACCAAAGCTGCCCTGGGGCGCACGGGCAGAGGCAAGGCTGCTGAGCACATGCACCTCCGGTTCCTCCGACTACCACCAGCAGGGAACACAGGTTAAGTGACTTGCTCAAGGACACAACTGCAGTACTCCCTGCCGGGGGCCAGGATCAATCCTACAACCCTCTGCTAACTGGACAACCCGCTCTACCTCTTGAGCTACTGCTGCCCCATCCATCAGTATATTCTCTAGGAAGCCTGAAGCATTTGACAGAGATTCAAAAATGTTCAAGTACAAGTCAAACAAGACCTCCAATTTAGGTGTGTGTTCCTGACCACCAAGCTTTAGTAATTTTATGTTAAATCCATTGAAATGAATGGTAGATGTGATAGAAGGAATTGGAGGTACAGCAAGAAGAATATAGGTGAGAAAGAAGCTTTTTCTGCATAATACTAGACTAACACTTCTGGACAGAGGCGTTAAAAATCTCATAGCATACTTTTATAAAAATGAAGCGATTTAGACGCAGGCGGTCAGAGGTTGCACGAGGATTGATGAGTCATGATTTGTAGAGTTTGCATGTCTTTTGAAAAAGACACTCAGCATAACGTTCATTAGAAAGTGTAAAATTACAAAACAATGAACTAGTGCATGCATATTTCTAAGTAACAGGAAGTGATGTATGTGTGCATCCATGAGTACATTTCTAGCAGGCTGGTAAAATGAATGAATGAAATCATCACAGAATGAGAAGCCAATTTTTTTTATCATTCCAAGTTTAGAGGTAGAAGTCATTTTTATGTTTGTTGCAGATTTTTTTTCTTGTTCTGGTACTAAACTCCTTTTTTTATCCAAAACATTTAAATATCAGTTAAAACATGAGTGTCCTGTTTAATATTTGATGCCCTACATCAAAATATCTGCATAACTAAAAAGGACAAATCAGCAGCCATATAGCAACTTCAAAGCCTTTATTCATCTTTTTTCTCCTCTTCGGAACACATTCTAGCAGATACTTTCAGTTTTGAACAAATGTGTCAGCATTCAACAAAAACATTTATTCATGTGCATATTAAGTAAATTAAAGTCGATGATTTAACTGATAATTATCGTGTAGTGTCTTTCTAACAGTCACCAGGTTGGATGTCTGCACCTTTACTGCATCTGAAACAAGAGCTACTGTGGGAGGGGAGTCATTACTGCCAGTAGGTGTGTCTCTGCTGACATAAACTGTTTGTCCAGATTGTGCAAGGCTGTGGTTAAAGCATGCGGACAATCACAGAGACCACATTAGGGCGTGGCCCTTCTTCAGCTGTTAAACCTGTCAGATAAATGCAACTCAGCACGTCTGGACAATATGCCTGTGGGGGGATGTTAATCGGGTTGAGACACAAACAGATTGATTATGTTTGGCACCACAGTAACATATAATTAAAGTTCTAACAGAAATTACCGTATGAATGCTAATTGTCTGTCGAGCCATATAAGCTGGCATTGTGCACATCAGAGTATGCTTGTTTTATTTAGGACATAAAATGTTGAACTAAAATGATGATATCTTCTGAATAAGTACGTTCTCTCATTAGTTAATGGCTTATTGAAGCATAAGATCATCATCTGAGGTCCCCTTCTACTCTACAGTTATGGATGCAAGTCACTCAGCCATCTGTCTGCCTCAAGTTTTTGGCTCAGACCTCAGTGTATTTGTGCCAAACTGATTTTTATTTGAGAACCAGGACTGCTTTTGAAGGAGAACTTTATGTGTCTGACTTAAATGTTCACCAAAAGCAACAATATTTTTTTCTTCTTACTAAAAAGTACTCCAGAGGAAGTTTATACCTCCATCAGTGGCCAAGATCTGTATTTTTTTATTTTATAAATTTTTTCCTTTCCTCTGATCTATTTTTAAAGATAATTTGATTCATATTTTAGGCTGCACAGTGGTGCAGTGATTATCACTGTTGCCTTGCAGTAAGGTCCTGGGTCCAAATCCTGGCATGAGATCTTTATGGGTGGAATTTGCATGTTCTCCCTGTGCAAGTGAGGGTTCTCTCTGGGTACTCTGGCTTCCTTCCACAGTCTAAAAACATGAGTGTCAGGTCGATTGGTCTCTTTATATTGTCCTTAGGTGTGTGTGGGTGGTTGTTTGTCCCGTGTTTCCCTGTGAAGGACTGGCAACCTGTCCAGGGTGTACCCCACCTGTTTGCTTACAGACTGTAGGAGATGACCCCCCCCCATCCCCCCCCCCCCGACTTAGAGGTGAATGGATGGAATCAAATTTTGTAACTAAACAAGTAAACCTTTTTATAATAAAAAAGTTCAAACATCAGGACATTATTGATTCATTAAAACAAAATTTAAAAGTATGCA